AAAAAATAAAGGTATTCCCCCGCCCCATATTTTTACTGCCTTGATTTTTTTTAATATATTTCATTGATTTATTACAGAGAGGAAGGGAGAGAGATAGAGAGCTAGAAACATCGATGAGAGAGAAACATCTATCAGCTGCCTCCTGCACATCTCCTACTGGGGATGTGCCCGCAACCCAGGTACATGCCCTTGACCGGAATCGAACCCGGGACCTTTCAGTCCACAGGCCAACGCTCTATCCACTGAGCCAAACCGGTTTCGGCTACTGCCTTGATATTTATGAAGTTCCATATCAGACTAAAACATCTTATTGGATTTTGCAATGTTATGTGCTTAGTGTAAAGTAAGTTCTTAAGATAAATATAGATAATTTCCTTGATATTTAACTTGATTTGATAGAGTAACATGTTTACCCTTTATTTATTTTTGAGTCTTTTCTTCCTTCCCTTTTTCTTTCTGTTGATATTGTTTCCTCTGCTTCTTCTTTACAACTCTAATCAAATATATATCCACACGCAGCATAAATAATTTGAAAGCTGGGATGCTGTTTGCCAACAGGAAATCCCTTTTTTTGTTGTTATTAAGAGTGGGCTTAATTCTCTACTGTGTAAATATGGATAGTAGAAAACATATTCGGAAAGGCTTGGTCCAGAACATCCTGAGGAAATACAGTATCAACTGTTGGGACTTTCAGTTTATTCATCGCACATATTTTCTTTGTCAGAGAGAAGCAGCTAATGAAGGTACATTGGCCTCAAAGTATCGTGAAGCAATATCTATAATTGAACACATGCAGGACAAGTTAATGTAAGTATGAGGCACCCCAATGGTAAGAAGATGAAGATGCTGGCCCGGAGGTGTGGTTGAGAAATCCACACTTCTTGGCTGACTTTGGTTCTCCTGTGCTTCTTCCCATCTTCACTAGTGGGAAGGGTATCTCCAAATCTTCTGCTAGAGTCAGTGAACTACATGCTGTAGAAGGAATAGCTGTCCTCACTCACAGTAGAGATGGAGGAAGTCAAAGCTGGGGCGGGGAGGGAGAAGGGGAATAAGAAGTGAATTCAGTCTGTTTTAATACATGAACTAGATAAATAGATGTAACAGGGAGAAACTACTGTGTATAAGAAGGAATGTAGCACTTTCTGCTGTTGCTCAGTGCTTAGAGCAGTGATAGCGAACCTATGACACCCGTGTCAGAGGTGACACACGAACTCATTTTTTTTTGGTTGATTTTTCTTTGTTAAATGGCATTTAAATATATAAAATAAATATCAAAAAACATAAGTCTTTGTTTTACTATGGTTGCAAATATCAAAAAATTTCTATATGTGACACGGCACCAGAGTTAAGTTAGGGTTTTTCAAAATGCTGACACGCCGCGCTCAGAAGGTTCGCCATCACTGGCTTAGAGTATCAGCCCGAGCACCGGAAGGTCATGGTTTTGATTACTGGTCAAGGGCATGTACCTGGGTTGCAGGTTTGAACTCTAGCCCTGGGGCACATGGGAGAGGCAACCAATCGATGTGTCTCTCTCACATAGATGTCCCTCCTTCCCTCCCTCCCTCCCTCTCTCTCTGACACTTTCCCTCCCTCTCTCCCTTCCTCCACCCTCATCCCTTCCTCTCTTCCACTCTCTCTAGAAATCAATGGAAAAAATATCCTCAGGTGAGGATTAACAACAACAACCACAACAACAAATTTACAAAACCCCAAAAGTAGGAGGAACAATGTAGTTAAAATGACTGAGAATGCCAAAGTGGAAGCATAGCCATATGTTATGTGCTGTAGTAATTAAGAAACACATCTCAAGCTGGTTTTCTTGACTGTAAAATCTGGTTTTAAAGATGCTGAAAAAGAAAGGAATGAAGGGGGAAAAAAAGAAGACTGTGTGTTTCTGGGCACTTATGCTTAGGAATTTTTTTTTATTTTTTTTTAACAAAGGGATACTGTTGGATTTGGTTTGTTGGATCACATCAATAAGGAGAAGCCAAAATGAACTTCTGAAAGGGGGTTCCTTGGGTATTGATGGAGACTTCCAAATACCCCAAATCAGATTTCATTAAGAGTATGTTCTTAAATGACTGCAGTTCTGACACTATCGCCCAGAGCAGCTCCCAGGCCTCCAATTCTGGGCTGATCATCGATGCCGCTGCTTCCCTTATTTGCACCTTCATCATTAAATACATTTCCCTCATCCTACCGCCTTTTTCGGCAATGAGTTTTTATGTATGAATGATACTTTTTTGAACCTTTCCGTTTTGTTGTGTTTCTCTGGACTTTGTCCACATCAGAGAGCTTGAAAACCGAGCCAGACAAGCAGAGGAGAAGTTTGATGACACAAATGAAAAGCTTCATTTTACCCTGATAAGAAATAAAGAACTGGAGGAAGTAGTGCAGTCTAGGAAGAAGGAGCTGGAAGGAGAAGAAAAACATGAAGGCGAAAGAGCAGCAGAAGAAGAAAAAGAAGAAGAGGACATTTCAGCAGGCACTTCCGTAAAACCTTTACAGAGAGGTGAGGCTTGCTTTCTGATTTGCTTGATTTAGGTCGTATTTATGAAAGAAAACTTGATTGGGTCCCAGATATTTTATTTTATATATTTCTTCATTAATCCTC